TTCCTACATGACCATACTATTATGCGTATTGTCCATGTCAAGGAAATAATAATACTCAGAAGGCATGGCGATGCATGGTATTGCATCGTATTCTTGGACTAGGCTAAAGACTCGAATGGTAATCAGAAACCGTCCAGCTCTCTCTTCACATAATACACGTTCCCAGCACTGGTATTCTCAACAAAACGCTTCAGACGTCGAGTCTTCTTTGAACAAAGGAAAGGTGAGCAGCTTGAGCAAATGAATAGACGAGATACAAGAAGAGAAAAGTAACAGCTAGTACGTAGCTGTAAAAACGTACAAGAAGGGTATCGAAATCGAAATAGGAAATGAACCGTCAACCGATGTGGGTTGCGTGGGAAATAACAAGCTTCTTCCGCCTAGCTCCGTTGCCTCCCTCAATCGCAGCCTCCCACTTTTCATTTGACATTATCAGTTATTCGTTTTGGACACCGGCGCTGGTGTCCTTGACCTGTTGCCGTCACTGCGCCTTGCAGCCTAGCCCCTACCACTGTTGAGACTCTAACGGATACAACAGATCATCGCGTTGAAAAGAACAATGAAACCATTATGAAGTTTCGCCCATACCCTCCAAGATCCGGCGAGCCGCATCGATGCGTCTTCTATACATCCGACTCTCCGAAGACGCCTTACCAGCCTCGCTCATGGCGAGCACGCACCTGCCGAGGCTGGCAACGAAGCGTTCGACAAGGATTTGGTCCTCCTTGGCCAGTGCTTCCATGGGTGCAAGCTGATCAGGTGTATGCATACTCTCTTTGTCACAAATGCTAGCGGTTTCGCTCATGAGAGCATCAGAAATCGTCTTCAGCTCCAGCTCGGGAGAACCTTGGGGCGTAAGGACACCGACGCTAACACGCGCCTTGCCCACCAACGGGAAGCTTCGGTTGGTACCCGTTGAGTCGAAGGAAGCAGTCGACGGACGGTGACCCATCGTTGCTTGAGTGCTCATGGGTCGACGGTAGACTGTGGAGCCAGCCCGCGCGCGTGTTCTCAGTTCCTCCAAAACGTCCTCGCCGCCCATGGTGCTACCAATCGTTGACCGCTTGGCAGTAGGAGGGCTCTCAGTGTGCTCACTGATTGGGCTGACGCTTGGCGGGGTGAGAATACCATGTCTCAAGTCCTCGCTCACGTCGTTTGTGCTGATTCTGCTGCCTCGCCCCGAGCGAGCCGTAGCAAAAGACTCAATCGTTGAAGTAGTGTCGCCGCTGCCTCTTCGATGGTGCGATCTCGGTCGAATCGACTCATCTGATGTCATCGGTCCGCGAGTTGTCTCGACGGAGCTTTCGGAACTGACGCTGCCCCGACGCTGTTGGCTCAGGTTGCCTAGTGCGCTGTGGAGGAAGAAGTGTTCGTAATCGAAAGCGTCTTCTCGATCTTCGTGGGACATAAAAGTCTGGACTGTATCGTGGTAAAGGGAGTCACCACTCTCGCTGTCGTATCCATCTCCCTCCTGGACCTGCACACTGTCTTCGAAGCCATCTTCAGTATGCATGTCAGAGATATCATCGTCATCGTCAATTGCGTCATCCTGGCCCTTGTTTGCCTCCATAGCGTCGAGGGCCTTTTGTCTCTCTTCCAGTCGGATGGCCTCTTGGGCTGCGTCGTACTCGTCTACAACGGACTCGTTGTCTTCCATGATCGAAGGCTCCTGTAGTTCGACTAGTACATCGGATGGGAACCCCCGCTCTTGGACCAGCCCGTCGACACTGACTGCATCGGCGTTCCATGGGTTCTTGTCCGACGTAGCAGTCAAGGGCGGCGATTGCTCCTCTTGAGATTTGGCGTACCACTGATCGACCTGCGCATGAGTAAAGGGGCTTGGCGTTCGTAAGCTTTGCAGACTGCGCCGTCGCATTGTGTCCGCGCGCGCCTGCTCTCTCAAGGACGAGATCTTGCCTTTCAGGTCTTGTACCTGGCCCTTTAAGTCACGCATCTGCGCTACCGACGCCGAGCGCACCAATGGCCGATCACGACTCGAGGAACTGAGTGCCGGGCTCAGCAAGCTTTCACGTTTAGTGCTATCGCTTCCTGAGTGGAACTCTTGCGCGACTTCATCCTCGCCAAGAGGTTCCAGGCCTATTTCCTGTGCTGCCTTGTATCGAGATTGGCCTTCCCCTCCAGAGTTCAGGCGCTCCAACGTAGCATCATGAACGTTCTTACGCACAGAATACGGTTGTCGATAGCCTCCAGCCGCTCCCATGGCGCTAGCGGACCTTCTTGGGATAGTGCCGTTGTTGTTTGCGTCGTAATTGAGAGACGTATCACTCAACATCCTTGCGTGCCCGTGAATAGAAGTTGGCGAAGCTGCGGATGAGGCAGGGCGCAAAATCGTGGGAGATGGGGTCGAATTATTCCCGTCAAACGATGACATTGAAGGAGTTGAGATACTCAAAGAGCTTCGCGCTCTCGATAAGTTGCCTTCCATGGTCTGGAGATGTCAGCCTGCCTTCCTTACTGTTTCAGCGGGGTCAGAACTTACCGTCAGTCTCCGCTTGGCATTCGCCAGAATCTGCTCTGCTCGTCGGCTGATGAGTGCGGTCGAGTACCTATTGGGGTCGTCGAGGGATTCCCTGGGTGGTTGATGTATGGCATGTGCTTGATGCACAGATACATCTTCCGCATATGATTCTGCCACACTCTCTTCGTCATCGCCCTGAAAGTTGCTGTCGTCGACGCTTACGGTATCGTCGAAGTCTGCGAACATGGCATTCTGGTCTTGAGTGGTGGTGATGGTGCTTGTGGACTCTACGGAAGACCGGCGCGAACGCGTCGCTTGAGCCGCCCGCTTCTTTAAGCTCTCGAGCATCTTGGTGGGTGACTGTGGCTGTCGTGAATCGTCGCCGCTTCGATTATTGGGTCTGGACCAGATCACCGAAGTCGGGCGTGATCTTCTACCAGGTGTGCTCTCGGCCTCAGTGACCTCACCAATATCAGACAGCATAGTTCCATTCCCGTAGATTATTGGCGTCGTAGGAGTGATGGGCCCGGCGATATAGGCGCTTGGAGGGAATTGGAACTGCATGTTCATATCGACAGCATGTGAATTCTTCCACATCGTCAACGGAGAATGGGATCGGTCGGGAGAGGGCGAGCGATCGTAGTCGGGTAGAATCATGTCGGGATTCGTCAATGTAGGAGAAGCAGGCCGCGGGGGGTATGATGAGGTGGAGCTCGAGTGAGCATGGCCCGCGTGGGCGTTTAAAGTCTGAGTTGCCATTGTTTTTGATGGCAGAATCGGTTGCAAACGACTCAGGTTGCGTTTGTGCAGCCTCCTGCGCGTTGTATGATCTAAGCTGCAAGACGTTGATTGTCGTTGCAGCGGCCGTGGAGTCTAGCGACACAAAGCGAGTCGGTTCCCAACGGGGCTAGCTGCAATTAACCGGTAAACCTTCAGAGGCGCAAGAACCTCAATGGACAGTCACTCTTTGTAAACAATAAGCAACAGTCAGGACGAAGGCATCTGGGCAAAGTTTCGGGCAAAGTCAAAAACGCTGCCCACGTCTGCTTGGCCCGTGGCCCGTCCGGTCGTGATTCGGATGGATTAAGAGTTGGTTTCCAGGGTCGAGCTGGTTGTCAGGTTTACAATCAGACCAGATGAAGCTAAACGAGCTGCAAGCAAATCGCGGAAGTTTTGGCGGGGTTCGAGGCAGAAGTGCAGGTTGATCGAGAAACGCCGGAGAGGTCGTCAAGAGGTGATTTGGTCGGGGCACTGCCGTAGATATGCGAGATTGCGTGGTGGCTTTTGCGGGCGCTGAGTGTAGAAAGCGTAGCAGCAAGTGGGAGTCCGTTTGCGGGAATAGAGACGTCGTTGGTCGTATGCAAGCGCATAGGTAGCAAACAGGCCGCCGTGTTCGGGGTAGGTGGCCGGAACGAGGAAGTCGAAATGCCGGTCTATCGTCGATCGTAGAAAGAAATCGGGATGCAAGAGCAAACGGCGTCCGTTGTAAGCGAATCCGGCTGTTCTTCCCCTTCTTTTCCTCCTCTTGCAGCGTGTTGGGTGATGATGCACAGCTGTGTCGCGACAGGCCCCAAGTTTAAGGGGTTGCAGCTGGTGGTTTTGGGGCGCGAAAGCGATGGAGGGTCCCGCAGGATGTTTGAAATTATCGAGAAAGTCGACCAATGAGACTGAGCCGATGTTTGTGAGACATGCAGCGGGTGCTCTAGTGCTTGCCCTGTCTCTCGCTGAGGTGCAGCAGGCGCAGGAGGAGCAAAGCACAAGTATTCGTACAAAACGAGTGGAAGTGTAGGTGAAAGACGGAAGATGGATCTGGTGAATGCCTCGTGGTTGCAGTTCGTTTCCCCTTCACTGATCTGCGTTGGCGGTGCAAGCAAGATAAGATGACAGGCTGCGGGAGATGAGCGGCCCAGGGATCGAGTATGCGTACATATGCGTATGGAGTATCCGTACTCCTTAGAGAGTACGCAGTACAAGCCGAACAGAGCAGGATCGCAGGAGGGCTCGAGACCTGAGGCGGCAGTTGATGCGTCCAATCCAATGTAAGGTACTTGCTCGCTTGTAGCAAATGTGCTGCGTATGTTGAAGTTTACACACAACAAGAGTACAAGTACACTTCGCCGCAGCTGAAATGTGTACCTTTAGAGCACGGAGTATCGAGTAAGGTCTTTTTCCTTGGAAGCGAACGGGTGTGGGAATGACAGGCTGAGGGGCTGAGGTGCACGAGAGCGGATGGGCGAAGCCTGGGCCGAGCCGGAAGGGAAAAGTAATAATGTATTCGTACTTGTGCTGCAGTAGCCAGCTGCCGAGAACGGTCTTGGCTTGTTGATCGGCGAGCTGACTGAGTGAGGACCAAGTGCGTGGTACGGAAAGCCCGTGGGTTTGTTCGTAGTCTACAAAGTAACGATACAGAATAATTAGCATCCGTAGACGCGCAAGTGACACTGACAGGAAGAACAATGCCCGCCAAAGGGGCTTCTCTGGGCCGTCAACTGCAGATGTCGCGTGGCATCTGATGCTCATTATGTCTGTCCCTCTCTTCATAGTGTAAGGTACGCAGTATTAGAGCATCCTGGTCTGGCCCCATTGCCTGATGTCTCGCTTCTGGTCAAGTCATCATCTTCTTCCCGCGTCTCTTAATTCGCGAAATAGCTAAGACAGGGAACAGGCATTCCCCATGTCCAGCAGCCCTTTCGTTCGTAAAATTTTCAAATCTCTTGCTCCAACAGAGAAGGAGACCAATGCTCGCGCAAGTTCACAACCTGGTTCGCAGTTGGTCTGCCCCCCTGGACCGGCCGCTTCGACCCTAGCCCGCGGTGGCTTGCTAGAGCAGTATCGCTGCACATGGGAGGGTCTCGATGGCGGCGTGGGCGGTCGTGTGCGGGTCTCGTTCCTTTCTCTTCCATTCCCAGCAGCGTTAGCAGTCGGAAACTTCCATGGGACCTTGCTTCTTCCTCGGGGCCTGGGCTGTCCAGTCGGAAGCACCAATGCGAAGCGTCAACAGCGCTGCTTCCATGGGTTCGTATGTAATTCGTCGTTCGCACCTCGCAGTGTTCCTGGCGTTGCTGAACTGGGCGTACTAAGTTACCCCTGTTGGGACAAGCCTGGTTCCTTTTCTGCGGTTGCTTTCCTGCAGGTGCTGCCCTGCGGTGCCTGGCATGAAAGTCGAAACTGCCAGGATGATTGGACCCGAAGATTGAACTTACCCTTAAGACACTGGGGCCCCCGGTTCCTCCCAAGCATTGGCCAGCAAGTGGAAGTGGGCTTGGCAGGGAAGTTGGCGCACGAGAAGCGGAGCTGCGTCAAGGAAAGAAACAGTCCCGGCCCTGGCGCCTTCCACCTTAGGTGCTTAGGTACCTTCGGTTACGATGGGAAGATACGAATTCCAAAGTATCCGTAAACAAATTTGAAGAAAGGAAGCAGGTGCCAGGTACAAATAATTCTCTGCTGTCTCCTTCCTTCCTTCCAAGTCCCTTCGCAGGTCCAACGGCTTGCACAGGTATCCGTACTGGGCAAGCACGGGCACCGACACCTTCGAGAGAAAACCGCACTCGCACGGTGGTGGAGTCTTGGGACGTTCACGCAAATCTCGGCAATTCATCAGCCTTCCGCATGCAGAACCCTGACCTGCCTGGCTACCCTCCCAGGACATCTCGACCGCCTCTCGTTCCATTTGTGGACGCACCGCGGGAATCCGCTACTGATCGAGCAGAAGGCCGTCGAATCTCCATTTAAGACGAACCCATCCCACCACGGTTAAGCTTCATCACAACCTCGCTGATGGATTTGTAGCTGTGGAGATATTGGCCTCGGACTCCTCATCTACTGGCCTACTTTGGCAATGATCTGAAGCTTTCCTCCGATTTCAAGGGACAGTCTCAGTCGACCCTCTCAAGTTCTAGCGGCCTATTGTTAAGGCATCCATGTGAACTCCCAGACCGTTGGATGCGGGCGGGGCACCAGCACGCCGTACTGAATCAGCGATCGAACAACCGACCCAAACTTGCCAAATTCCTCGCGGTTTCTGGAATGTTGGTACTGCTTAGTCGAGCACGAACATCGGCGCGTCCATCTCATGACAATATATTACGGGGTTGCGCTTCCAGCCTTTCTTCAGCTATGCCATTCGTCGGATGCACTGTGTTGCATTTCACCCTGGGCTGAATTTGCCTGTAACGCGCCTAGGCCGATAGGAGCCAGAATGAGAGAACGACTCGGAAGATGGGATGCCAATGGCACCTCAGCACTCCCACTCCCGCTGCCACTCTGTTGCGCGCCGACGCGTCTCTCCCACCAGTCTCCCGACCTCACGGCTCCCCGTCTGTAGTGACGCCATGCATCTTTAACTTGACACAGGCATCGCCCGGTATATTCTTACTACAGGTCAGATATATCGCGCTCGTCTATCTAACAAAATTTTCTCTCCTGCTTTGCATTGACTCTAGTCGCCGAACCAATCTCGACGCCAACCATCACATCGCAAATCTTGGGTGAATCCAGCGATCCGTCGTAACCTCAAACCAGCGGCATCCTTGCCACGCTCAAACTACTGGACCATGCCTTCCCATGGACGGGACGGGCATCCCGAGCGCGGGGGAACTTGCGGAAGAATCTGGCACTGGCAAGCCGCGAACCTATTCTCCACGCTACCTTATGCTCATAGTCTGCAACTTCAATGAGAGGAGGTTCGTGATTGTCGATGAAAGGTTTTTCCCAATCTCATTTACGATGGCATAAGTCAATAGCTTCGAATGTTAAATCTCCTGCCCAACGCACCGGTCGACAAGGCGTTGCGCCCGGATCTCGTCGCCTATCTTGATCGGTCTTGGGGTTTTAGGGCTCTGTCCCTTTCCAATCAAAGAGATGACATATTCCCCGAGAGCCCTACTCGGCCACCGCGCCGGCGGCAACCTCTGGTAATGACTAGGAAGTCACGAAGGTCTAGGCATTCGTCGTGTGGCCTGTTGTGGCGTGCTTGATGCTTCTGCTCCGCATATTTGGGATGCTGGAATGTCTCCAGATTATGTTCCCGAGGGCCTGGGCCCGGTCCCTTTCTATGTCTCAGACCCCGTCCAGCAATGCGTCTGATAACAGCCGCCTTGTCACGAACAGCATGAATATCCACAAGTGGGTGGCATCATGTCTGACTTGACCATGTTATGCAAAGAAGCAAATCGACGACATGCCATGTTCCAACTCCCTCAATTGTGACACGGGTAAGCGCGCGTGCCTTTGTTTTTTTCTATCTTGTCGTCTCAAAATGTCCGGATATATGCCCAATAGTCTATGCTTTTTTCTGTATCTTTTCGCCAGCCCTCAACGCAAATTCCAGTGATCCTCCCGTATGGCTGACCACGTATAAACAGTCCACAATGCTTTTAGTCGACAACCCATGTGCCTCTTCATATCCCATCTTGCCGGCGGGCAATGCGGCACGCTGATCTAGCCCTCAGTGAACGCCTCGCTTCTAGCCTGCGCAGTGGAGGCATCTTCATTGCCGTTGTCCTTGGTCGTGGGACGGTTGGCGATGAGGCGCTGTGAAAAGTCAGGGATATGGTTTCTGGTTCGCCGTGTTCATTTAGTTCACTTACCACCAAGTTTCTCAAAAGGCACGCAATGGTGACCTTGCCAACTGACGGGACGTAGATGGCCGCCTTCTCCTTGACGGTGGGCGCGTCAAAGTTGCGGTGGGAGGAGAAGTTGATGCAGACGGCACCCTCGCGAATGAGGTCGGTCGAGATCTTGTACTTTTCGCTGGGGACGCCGCCGATGATGACGTCGCTGAGGGGGAGGACCTGCTCCAGGCCCCAGCCCTCCTTGTTCTCGACCTGGTGGCGGATCTGCTTGATGCCCTTGCCGCGAGTGAAGAGCTGGACGCCGGTGATGTCGACCGAGTAGACGGTGGCGCCGTCGTTGGCGAGCAGGGCGGCCAGGGGTCGGCCGTTGACTTCGGACCTGTTGATGACGGTGATTGTCTTGCCAAAGAGGCGGTTGCCGTAGGCCAGGATTGGGTTGTAGATCTGGAGGTGCTCGAGGATCTTGACGACGGCGAGGGGCGTGCAGGGGAGGATGGACTTTCTCAGGTTGTGGGGCGGGTCCAGGAAGCGGACGTTGTGGTACATGTTGAAGATATGCTGGTGGCAGAGGCCCTCAACGTCCTTTGCCAGGGAGACTGTCTCCTGGATGTACTTGTCCTGGAGCGGGTTGCCGGGGAAGATGGGGTAGTAGACGATGATGCCGTCGACCTTGTCGTCCTCGTTGGCCTCGGTGATCTTTTCCTCGAGCTGCTCCTTGTCGACACGGCGCAGGTCAAAATCGAAGCCGCTGGAAAGGGGGGTGAACACCGTCTCGTCAGCTACCTTTTGCATCCAATTTTTGCTCATTTTTTATACACGTCTTGTCACACAAAGACAACTTGTCTTTGCAGCGACAAAGGGTTTGTTTTTCGCCTACTTTTCGACGCAGGTCTTCTTAGACCACTCAGCATACTGCAATGCAGCCGGATCGTCGTTTGCCAGGAACGCCGCCAAGGTCGGCTTGGAGGCGCCGTTGCCCTGCACCTTGGCGAGGGTCTCGTGAACCTCAGTCAGGAGACGCTTGGCGATGGTGTCGGCCAGAATGACCTTGCAGGTCTTGGGCACAGCTTCGTTGGAGGCCATCTTTTATGAAAGGGAGGCAAACTCCAGTTTTGATACACGCGGCTTGACAGCATTGTTAGTCGGGTCTCTCAGTCTCGGCTGATAAGAACTGTCACTCACATATGTGGTTGGAGTGAGTTGCCCGTCGGCTTCTATCCCCGAATTAGTACTTGGGAAAGCCCCACCACCTCCGACCCCGCGATGCCGCGTTGTAGAGCATATCGGGAGTGGAGGAGAGAAGACTAACTGGCAAAGACAGCCAATATATCGGCGCTTATAGGAGTGGCAGTTGATCAGGATTCGAAATCCGAATTTTGACGCGTTATTGGGGCAGTGAAAGTGAAGAAAGGTTAATCAAGTGAAGCTGAATGGCTCCGAGTCTTTTGGAGGGGCACGCTCCGACTTCGACGTCCAAATTTTTTTTTTTTCCTCCGTTCGCTGGAACAGGACCCCGCGGCCCTTGCGCAGTCCCGTCTGTGTTACCCCTCCATACCCTCTTACCCAATTAAGACTAGCTCACTACCGCTCCCATCTGTTGCAATTCCGCTCCAGGCTGAAAGCATTGACAGAGAGCAGATCGCAGCGACTAAACAGCTCAAGAATAATCACGAGTGTAAAGCTCTTCCTCAAAGCAAGCCAGTTTATGACCAGAGACAACAAATATCTTGAAATGGCGAACCAGTAAAGATAAGTTGACAATTAACGCTAAGCCCAAAAAGGTCTATCCACCGGAAATTGGTTCCTCCATACCGCGATCATGACGATAAGTGCTACACCGCCTTCTCGATTGAGATGTCCCCCACCAACAACCCAGCAAGCCTGAGTAATTATCTCACAACTCATCACCGGCTTTCGGTGGTATGAAGCCCAGTATCGGCAACTGACAAATACCCAGCGGACTATTCGCCAAACCACCATTTTCCCCCAAATCTAAAGCGACTACCACGTTCATGAAATTGGATATCTAGACAAGCAATTTGCATGAGAGGAGCACGTCTTGCCTCTCTTTCACTCTTTCGGGACGCATTTTGAGCAGGCGCGGGGTCAACTTTGGAAGCACATGAGAAGGAACGACGGAATATCTCACAACTTCTTACTACATCACCTTTCCGATTGCATCTAGACAATATCAGCTTGGAATTCACCCATCTTCACACTACGCGAAGTGGACTTCGATACAGCAACATACATTGGGCAATCGAAACTACCATTAGACGCTTTTGATTTCATCGCAATTCACGACTATCATGGCCGATTTTCGGAAACTTGCACTCGAGTTCGTGCTGAGCGACGATACTGAGAGACAAACAGCAATCACACAGGAGGCAGCTTCGGGTATGTATATGGCCATTCCTACCCTTTCACCAACCATGCAAACAGCTGACATGACCCCAGAGATCCAGTCAGCACCCAGACCTAGCAATCCAGTTGCAAGATGGGTAGAATCTATTCGACCCTGGATGCCCAGCGCAAATGAAGATCAGGATGACGGCGATGGTGATGTCATTGCACGGTCCAAAGGTACAGGAGTAAAGACCGTATTGGAATAAAGATGATTACTGACTATGACACCTTCTTTAGCTTTGAGTTTTCTAGCAGGGACTCTTGAGCATCTGGATCCCGCATTCCTCAAAGCCGATCAAAGTAAGTAAGGCCGAAGGCATGTGTACTCAAAGGCTCATTGCTAACGCCGCATTCTCAGCCAACCTCCTGGTGGCTTTTTTTGGAAGCATGTTCAAGGTCGACCACAAGGCTGGCATTATGCCCGCTGCGAAGGCTCTTGACCGAACTGCTGGCATGAAGACTTTCCAGCCACAAAAGGGAAACGACATTATCCAGAGTGTGTGCAGCCTTGGTGATGATTTCAAGTCCCAGGTCGCAGAAACCCGTGCAACAGTATATGAACTTCTGGACCATCTTATCACCAACCCGGATGTAGCAAACGACTTGCAGTACCAACACGGCACAACCTCGGGCTTCATCACGGATCTTTTGCAACTATGTCGCAATGAGCGAGACCCCAAGTGTCTGATGACTTGGTTCAAGATTCTGAAGGTCTTTCTTTCAGACTATTCCCCTGCACCGGAGGTCGTGGATGAGATTTTCAGTATCTTTTCAGCATACTTCCCCATATCGTTGAGGACATCACAGCATCCTTCGGGAATCACAGCCGATGATCTCAAATTGGCCTTGAGGGCTTGCTTTTCGGCACATCATCGTGTCGCTGACAAGGCTATTCCATACCTCCTTAGCAGGCTAGACCAGCCGGACAGTGTCAGTGTCAACGTCAAGGTTTGTGTTCTTCCTTGGACTATGTCAATTATACCTGTGCTGACACTGCTGTAGGTTGACATCCTCAAGACCATGACCGCATGTCTGAGCGGCTATGAACATGTTCAGCAAGGAGTCACCCCCTTTACCAACAAGATTTGGGATAGTCTCAAGTATGAAGTCCGCAATGGGGAGATCGAGGACACCATCAATGCCACCTTGGAAGTCATTCGAACAGTCGCCAAAAGACTTACCGGTGACGAGCTCAGGGATTTTGCCCTGACTGTTCAGAGAGACTGCTTGGAGGACCTGTCAAACCCGATCTATACGGCAGCCTCAGGAAAGCTTTTGATCTCCATCCACAGTGCAAAGCCAGCTGCCTTTGCACTCATGATCTCCCCGTCTGTGACCCATATCAAGGAGAATCTCCGCCACACAAAGTCACCTGACCACACGAAGAATCTCCTGATTCTCCTGAATTCTCTACTCGAGTTGCGGTTAGCCCTAATTGGAGGAGGCGTGGAGCTGAGTGTCGAGGACGCCGAGGCCTTCAAATCTACCGAGCCGCTACTTGCCCCCATCTACAAGCAGACGTACCTGCCTCTTTTCCAAAAAGCTCTACAAGATACTGCGCAACCCGAAGATATCACCATCGGTCAACAGGCAACCAAAGGTCTGGGGTTGATGGTATGTCAGAGAGCAGCTCAAATTGGACAGTCGAACCAGCCGATGCTTCCAGAAGAAACACTAAACGAAATTTGCGACAACCTAGCAACTCTTGCGCTTCAAGCCCCTGGCGAACCGGCGAAGGACAAGAATCAACTCAAGATATCCGACGAGGCTGCTATTGCTTTACAAAAGGCTACGATGGCACACCCGCCGGCGCAACCCATGCTCATCGACACATGCTTCCGAGTCTGTGACGCGTACAGTGCTTCCCCTTCGGCCAACAACTTGGACAGCATGCACAATGTTCTCAAGCACAATCTCGCTAGACTGACCTACGTCTTTTGCTCCGAATCTCCTCGCTCTGAGAAGCTCAAACACTACACATACTTCATGCAAGCGCTTCTGGTTAACCTCTACAAGATGCAGGACGCCAAAGCTGACCCGAAGATTTGGTCGGTCATTGCTACTTACATATTCTCGGCCATGATTCAGTTCAAGGAAGGAGCCAAAGAACTCATCAACTTGCCCGTCAAAAACAACTTCAGCGACACGCGATTCGACGACAACTGGGTTAGCTACGTGGCAAACCGTTTCCCTAATCTGCCACGCCTCCCTGACGACCAGATCGTCTCGACGTCAGGGACGGACGAGAGCAAGGAAGTTGACAATCTTCAAGGAGATTTCGCCTTGATCAATCTGTACGTCACTCGACAGCTCTACAGACGGGCCACCAAGATCATCAGTTATGCCGACAATTCCGAGCTTTCACTTGCCTTGAGCGACGACTTTGGCAAGAAGGATCCGGAAGACAAGAATGAAGAGGATGCCTACTTGCACCGCCTCTCGAATATTGCGATGTTCACTATCCAGCACATGAGCGAATACCAGCAGACCAACCTGCTTCTGAACGAAGAAGTCGTAACACTCTTCCGTGGAACCGACCAGTATCGCCATCCTAATCCCACCGAGACCCACAGCTGGAACAATAGTGAGTTGCGAGCGGCCATGCTGCGGACCATGGGTCTTCCGCAGACTCCTTACAACATGAGAGATCCTCCCCAGTTCCCCATCAGTGGTTTCAGCCACGGCCGTACTGTCATCCTCTCCTTGGGCATTATTCAAGCTTTCCATCCAACCACAGTCGAGCGTTTGGTAAGATAACCGTTGCATCAAGACCAGGGAAGCTTTGCTAACACTCTGTTCTAGGTTGAAAGAGGAACCGCACACCAGATCTTGATTGCTGGCCTTCTCACCAGAGACCACTCAGACTCACCAAAGTGCCGGCAAGTCGTTACGGCTATTCTGTGCGTCATCGCCAACAAATACAAGGTTGAGAATTTGAACGATATCGTCCAGATTATGGAATATCAAATGAACTTCGTTGTCAGCGAAGAGAGACTGTCTGACCAGCTGGAGCAAATCACTGGCTACCTCGACCATGAGGAGAATGTGGTGGCTGGAAACAGCCCCAACGACCTCAGAGCAGCTCTGGCAAGGCCTGTATACGCGATTGTAGTCGGCATTCTCCGACGCTACACTGGTAACGCTCTCAAGAATGTTCTCACGGCTATAACTCAAGGTCCTGGTAATAAGAAGATTGGCCACACGCTTGCTCGCAGCATGGATTTCATCTTCAGTGACCTGGACTTCGCAAAGCCCGAGTTCTACGGCCAGCTTAAAAAGCTCTGGGTGCAGAGGGCCTACTACGAGTTGGTCAAGCCCATGCTGCCCAAGGCTTGGCCTGCCGGCTCGAACAGCAAGGATGACATGCTTGTTGCGGCCAATTATAGCATTGCAGTCTTGAGAGCAGTCAGGCACATCAAGTACGCGCACTACGAGGACGACACGGAGGATCTTATCCGAATCATTCTCTGCGCGATCCGCAATCTGCCGGCTAGCGCAGATGTAGCAGCCGGTCTCCAGATCTTGGTGGCCGTCACGGAGAACTCGCCCAGACGCATGCAACCATTCCTCAAGAGCATCATTGATGCCTCCCTGTCGATCTTTAGAAGAGACACGACGCAAGCCGGCGAAGACAACACCTGGATGCCGGAGAATTACGTGCCCTTTGACCGTTCCGGATTCCAGGAGGCGCAATGCCGGGCCTTGGTCGTTCGTCTCATCGGGCAACTGCCGCCCAACTTTGAGCATCGCCATCTCCTCGACTCGGCGTCCCAGGCCAAGCGCTTGTTGGCTCAGGCCTCTGGAGACGAGTCGCGAATGGTCAGAGAGGCTGCCCTCAAGTCTCGTAAGGCTTGGGACGAGGTCAACTGACGTATGTTGACTTTCAGAGCTTGAAGTAGTTTCGAAAGAATGAGTTGAACACGAGGCGATGGCTTTGCACTTTTGTCATGGATCAGTCGAGTTTGAATTGGCTTTGGTCGAGGCACGAAAGTGATGGTTTGTTGGTATAGGAGGGCAGCGACTCATGTGTTGGAACAGAGAGTGGGAGACGAGGTATTTGGCGGACTTGCATGATGGTGAGGGTTGGTGGCATGGCGAGGCGTTTGGAGGTCCAATGGATCATCAGTATTAGACGACCAGCATCCAGTTTAATGAGATAAAAATCACACAAGGCATTGCAATGATTTCACCAGAGACACTTTGGTTGCTGCGCATGTATGCTGTCCAGAGCATAAGCCGGCCGAGGAATGGAGCGAATAATGATAATTATCACCAAGGCATAGATGGTGCGATTGTAGCACTTTGAAGCAATATACTAAGCAAAAACACAGACACCATGCTTTTGACGGTTCCAATTATCCGTAATTTACACAAAAAAGTTTATTGGCAAGCCCCATGCGGTAACAAGTCCAAACCACCTCCAGTCCGGCCCTGTCTATGCCTTGCGTCTCTTGCTGCCACCCTTGGCCGCCTCCGCGCCGCTCCTCGTCGCCGTGTTCTCCGCGTACAGCGCGTCGAGGACGTCAGTCGAGTATCCCTGGGAGGTGGATGCGATACGCTTGGGGTCAAGCTTGCCGACGGCGGGGATGTTGGTAGCGAGGATCTCCTGGAAGGGAACCGCGACGAAGCGGCCTTGTGAGTCGAACCACTGGTTGAAGGGTTGTGAGAGGTTGATGACTTTATTTCCGCCGTTCTTCGAGGTCAGGGTGATCTTCATGTTGTAGGTCGGTACGTTCTTCTTTGTGGATGTCGCGATGTTGACCTGTTTCGCGGGCGTGTAAGTCAAGGTATGTCCATATCCTGGGAGCACATGCAGCTAGCTGTTGAGAGGGCACGAAAGAAAGCAGAGTGGCCTTACCTTCTCGCCTGAGGGTGATGTGCCCTCATACACGGTGCCTGCCTCCTTCAACCAGATCCATAGCGTAAGAGCGCCGTTGAGGATCGAGTAGAGGACCACGGCGGCGGCCGTGTAGTACTTTGTGCTGTCGAAGCCGAGCTTATAATCCCAGAGGAAACATGCGCCCGCAATCAAAAATGCTGAGTAGCCGAGCGCGAGGCGGACATCGGTGAGCGCATGGGACTGGGTGAACTTGAGAGAGTTGAGGTAGTTGGGGAGAGCATCGTCCGAGGTATTCTTCAGGTCTGGGGGGAGGAGCTTGTGTTAGTGTGATGCGATAGCTAGGCCTAGCGCAGGGCCATAGAAGGGTGAAGGGAAGTGCATACCGGCCAGATTATGGACCGTAATTTTTTCGGAAGACATTTTGTCTACTTCAGTTTTCGGGATTCTTCTTTCGAGTAGACTTGACAGCTGTGCGTGAGGCGGGCAGGCGTGGAGTTGTGATAGTTTGGCTTGTAACCTCCAGCCTGGCTTTCGGAGCTAGGAGTCTAGGACAGCTTGGACCCTTGTGCGCAGTCCCGTCCGTGGGCAGAGGTGAAAGTGGAAGGTGGTCTTTCGGAAGCTCGGCGAAACAAGCACCCGAAGAAGCTCCTACTCGATACAGACATCCAACTCCACCAGATTACACTGAGGCAGGCGGAGCTCTCAACCACCTGGCTGCATCGCAACGACGAGCGCCGTTACCGTCTCTGACACACCATTGCCCGGCTCTAATCGTCAGACACAAGCCCAGAATGGCCCAAGTTCCGGTGCAGACGATCCATCGGGATCCCCAGCTCCTGTACGCAAAGTCCCGCCTTGCCTGTCCTCAGTTGCAACCGCGTATGCTGACCTGACAAACCCGACAGTTACTGGATCCTATTCCCGATCACGGTGGTCATGGTCTTGACCGGCATCCTGCGTCACTACGCCACGGTTCTGCTCGCCACCGCACCCAAGAAGCTCGACAAGCCCGCGCTCAAGGAGCAGCGCAGCCTGATGCATGGCGTCACGGTCCGCACCAACCACCACGTCCTGTCCAAGAAGTCCTTTGAGGCCCGCCGCGATGCGCTCGTCGCGGCGTACGAGTCCGGCGCGTACTTGAAGAACCCGGATCAGAAGGGCCAGCCGCCCGCGAATCCGCTTACCGACCCTGGCGCGATGGACGGGATGATGGGGATGATGAAGAATAACATGGCCATGATTATTCCCAACACCTTGATCATGAGCTGGATCAACGCCTTCTTCAGCGGATACGTCATTAGTATGTTTTGCATGATCAACATCAGGACTTTGTGCGGCTGCTGACTGTCTTAGTGAAACTACCCTTCCCTATCACCATCAAGTTCAAGAGCATGCTTCAGGCGGGTGTGGCGACCAAGGACATGGATCCCCGCTGGATGTCCAGTATCTCCTGGTACTTCCTCTGCATCTTTGGTCTGCAGTCTGTCTTCGTTTTCATCTTGGGAAGCGACAACGGTAAGCCTGAAACTATCTTAGCCTTGCCCTTCCAGCATACTGACATCATTAAGCTGCCAGCCAGATGGCCCAGCAAATGGGGCAGATGGGAGGTGCCGCTGGTGCCCCTCAGATGTTTGGACCCGGTGTCGACCCTGACAAACAATTCAAGGGCGAGGCGGAGAACATTGCCGTCGTCGATCACTACTCTGTTTTGGATGATGTGGAGTCAAGACTGCTTGCGGGTATCAAGTCATAGAATTGTAGAACAATACACAAAATCCGCGCCCATCCGTACGCCTCGGGGCCCTTTCCATGTCTGAATAACGCTTGTGAGATTTCAGGAGCCATCTGAAGGCTATTCGCCGCCCTGTCCGTCCCACCAGAGGCATACGCCGAGACCCTCCATGGCCATGGTGCCCTTCACCTTGTACGGCGGCTTTGGCGGAGCAGCCTCTTCGCCCTGGCTTGGTCCTGCAGGTGTCTGATCGTGCCACTCTTCATCGATGACCTGGAATCTGACCATTTCGTGATTATCATAGAAGAGTCTGTCGTCCTCAATGTTCCAGATCCATAGCTGCTCTGAGTGGTTGCTAGAGTCGTGTTAGTGACGCATCAAGGTGACAAGGCAGGTCTGGCGGCACGTACAACTCGGCACCTTCGGGAAGCTCATCAAAGGGGATGAAGATATCGTCAAAGAAGTCGGTTCTCAGGTTGATGCCGGCCGGCGTCGAACTTCTAATTCTTCCAATCATGACTTCGCCCTTGAAGGGTCTGAAGACGATGAGTCTGAACTCCACTGCCGCATTTGTTAAAGATGATAAAAAAAAAGTCTGATGGGCTTGAGCTCGTGGAATTACCATTGACGTTGACGAGGCCTGTGCCATGGCCGATGAGGCCCTCAGAAGTCCACAAAAGATCGTAGAGGCAGATGCAAAGACCAATTTTCTGTATGACCTTGTTGGCGTACTTCGCATTGATGTTGTCCTCAATGGCGGCTTTGCTCTTCTTGCGGAAGTCTTCTGGCGCGATTTCGACCAGATCCGCAATCTTGGTCTTGATTGGGTCCTTTGTGTTAGTGACACACTCAGGTGAAATTTGTGAGTTTTCGAGTCTTACTAGAATGAACATGTTGAGCGCTTTGTCTTCGAGACGGCGGATTGTAGACCAGAAAGATCCCGGGTAAATATATTATTGATCCGGTATCATCGTCCGTCCCCTCAACGCCTCTGGAGGGTCGTGTTTGGGTCTTTCAAGTCGTGGTTCAGTGTATTGTACCGGCGCTCAGTGAGATCGCAAAATCGGCAAAATCGCGGGGCGCTTTGGTCTTGGGAAGCAGATTGACTCTTACCGCCCTCTACGTTGAGTTTAGCCTTAGCGGTTGCAGGGTGCATGTGTATCCCTATGGCCCACCACGTTTTAGTGGCTCGAGGTCTGTCCAGGCGGCGCGCCTCTGTCGCAACCCGCTGGAATTGTTATTGCGGGACCCGAAATGACTGTAGGGCGACTCCGAAAGCTCAAGTCCTAGGGGCTCCACGCACTCGCCTCACCTTCGCGTCAGGTCAGGGAAACTGCGTCCAGCCGTCTCTTCCATCCTAGAGCCTTTCGCTTCCCTTCCTTCATCACCTCAATCTTTACAGGTCGGCCGCCTTTCTTCTTTTCTCAAACTGGTGCTCTCTGCATAGAACACGCTACTTTCGAAAAGGCAATACTGCTTTCTGCTACGTTGATCGAATTTTGAACCATCCCTGCTACTCTTGCAAATAAAGATTGTTGCACAAATCGTCAAGGTCGTTGCAATCGAACACTGCGTTTCCTGCACTTTTTCACGGTTCCTTTCTTCAAAACCCCCGAACGCTCTTTGGCAACTCGACTGCGAAGATAGTAAGAACGCGTCGTCGTCCTCGAGCCAACATGTCGGGCTACAACTACGGTCCCCCACCACCTCCGCCTCCGGCTGCCCAGGCTAGCCATCCTGGATATGGGCATCACGGCGGCGCTTACCAACAGCATTCACGAGGCGGAGGTTCCCATGCTGCCCGTGGCGGGCGTGCTGGTTATCCATCAAATGGTCGCCCAGAGTACCCCCCGGCCCATCAGCCTCAGTACGAATATCCCCGCCAGCAGCCATACCCTCAACATAGCTCAGGATATCCCGCCCAGCAGCAACAACCTGCTGGCAGCAACTACCCTCCTCAGCAGCAGTGGCATCAAGACCACGGACATGGCGCCGCCCAGCATGGCGCTCACGCTCCTACGCCTCTGTCGACTTCCAACTACCATCCGAACTACGCTCCCCAGGTCTACGCTCATCCTCAACACCCACAACATCCTCAGCCTCCATCTCACCAGCCAGCCTACGGGCCACAGCAGCCGCAACAACCACAGCAGCAACCCTACGCCCAACCGTATCCCGCTCCTGCACCGTATACCGCTGGCCAGCCGTGGGCTGGACACGAACCCCATGCTCAAGGTCCCTACGGCGCTGGTCGCGGCCGAGGCGGTTACGGAAACGATCGAGGCGGCTCCCGAGGTCCTAACATGGCCACGCCTGCTCCAGTAGCCTACGGTGGTGAAGGAGTTCACCATCAAGCGAATGGTGGATATGGCCAGCCGTATGCCGATCCACGCGCGCAATCCGTCCAATACCAAGCTCCACCTCAATATCCATATCATGCCCCTCCTCCGGCACCTCACGCAGCGATTCCTCCACAGGAGCCGTACTACAAACATGATGGACAGGCCGGTCGAGGTCGTGG